TCTGGCTCTGGCTCTGGCTCTGGCTCTGGCTCTGGCTCTGGCTCTGGCTCTGGCTCTGGCTATGGCTCTGGCTCTGGCTCTGACTCTGGCTCTGGCTTTGGTTCTGGTTCTGGTTCTGGCTATCGCTCTGGTTCTGGTTCTGGATCTGGCTCTGGCTCTGGTTCTGGTTCTGGTTCTGGTTCTGGTGCTGGCTCTCGCTCTGGTTTTTGCTCTGGCTCTGGCTCTGGCTCTGGTTCTGGTTCTGGTTCTGGTTCTGGCTCTCGCTCTGGTTCTGGTTTTGGCTCTGGCTCTGGCTCTGGCTCTGGCTCTGGTTCTGGTTCTGGTTCTGGCTCTCGCTCCCGCCTGAGATTTTTTAAACTTACTCACGAATGGCGCTCTCGCTTACGATTCTTTGACATTTTTCCTGCCCGCCCGGCCCGCCTGTCAGGGTCCGCCCGCCCACCGTGGGCTCCCCGCCTGAGACTTCGCACAATTTTCGCGGGACCCCCGCTCCCGCCCGAGACTTCCTTGAAGAATGGCGCTCTGGCGGTTTAGGCTTAGACGTTTCGGAAACAGATTTGCGACATCAGATGTCTGAGTCGGCTGCGTGTTCTTTCGGCCGGATTGCGATCTGGGCCGCGATCTTCGCAGTGCAGCGTTTCTGGTGCTTCTCCGCCCTCTCCCGCTGATGCTGGGCTCCCGCAATGTAGGCAAGACCCCCCCCCTCCCGCCTGGCTTCACTTTTTATTCAGGAATGGCGCTCCCATTTAAGACTTCCGTAGAATTTAGTCAGGGCCCCCGCTCCCGTTCTGGAGATGTTTGCCTCCGCTTTTTAGTCAGGGCCCCCGCTCCCGCATGAGACGTCCTCGCAGTTTATTCAAGGCATTCGTTCCGGCTTAAGACTTCCTCAGAAATTGGTCAGGACCCCCGTTCCCTCCAGAGAGTTCCATACGATTTACTCAGGATTGGCGCTCTCGCCTGGGTTATCGTACTCCTCCCACTCCGTGCTCCCCCATCTCTTCTTGCTCATTCCCCCCTCCTCTTCCATCTCCCCTCCTGCTGCTCGCCGAGAGAGCAACCTGGAGCCCGCACGGGAGAGGCTGAACCTGGGTTCTCGTTAATTAATCTCCACCTCCGTACTCACCCATATCTCTTCTTGTCTTTTTTTTTTTTTTTTAGTTTTTTTTTTTTTTTTTTTATTTTTTTTTTTTTGTTTTTTTTTTTTTTTTGTTTTTTTTTTATTTTTTTTTTTTTTTTTTTTATTTTTTTATTTTCTTTTGTATGCCCCCCTCCTCTTCCATCTCCCCTCCTGCTGCTCGCCGAGAGATCAACCTGGAGCCCGCACGGGAGATTGTATTTGCCCTGAGGCCCTCTTAGGAGGTGCGCTGAGAATTCCGGTCCTGTCGGGGTGTGACCCCCAAGGTAGACCCCGCTGGCGTGTTCGTCAGAAGCATTCCACCACTACTTTTGTTGGTTTTGCACTACTCCCTCCCCTCTCCTTCCTCCCCTTCCTCCTCCTCCCTTGACTCACTTCTCACCCTACCTTTCTGTGCTTCTTGGGGCGTTTCTGTTCCACCAGACGGGTGCGCGCTTGGAAAGATTCACTGAATTCAGTCCCGGGTAGGTCTGGGGTATCACTTCTTGCACGAGGATCTAGGTCTCCAGCGACACAAGACAGTCGATCGTCTTAGTTCCAGCGCACTCCCGCTTCGAATATCTTATGTTACACGAGGCTCGAGTTTCCGCCTGCTTCTTCCTGCTGCTGCCTCTTCCTCCGTGTTGCTTGCCATCGCACTCATCTGCGACACCATTCCTCCTCGTGCTCGCCCCCATCTCTTCCTGCTCACAACACAGTTGCCGTCTTGGCTCAAGGCAGGCTTCTTCTCGGTACCGGTCAGCGCCGTTCTGCAGCCTCTCTGCCCCGATGCCACTGCAGCAGGAGGCCCGGATCAACGCGCGGCAGCTGGAGGTTTGTGTTTGTTTGTAGTGTCAGCACATCTATTGTATGTTTTTATTTCTTTGATATAACACTCCCTTGTTCTTCTCGTATCTTATTTTCTTTTTGTTTGGAATTTTTTTTTGTTTGTTTTTCTTTGGAGCACGAGTATGGCCACGTATTGCGTGCTGTACCTTTTTCTGACAAAACGACCCCTCGGCAGATCTTGCGCCAGTGGGAACGCACGTGCCCCGACGTGTCCGTCGCGGAAGGGGTCTTCCGTACTTGGTTCGACAAGCACCGTGCCGCTGCGGATCTCGAAACAATCCATGGGTATGTAGCGCTGGAGGCCCGTGCCGGTGAGAAGCTCCGGCAGTTCCAGGGAGAGGGGCGGCACAGCAGTTTCAAGCTTGTCCGGGAACTCCGGAGCCAGGCCGGGCTCAACACGACCGATGCCGTCATGAGGGAGTGGATGCGGCATCATGGCGGTGGCGCGCCATCCTGGTGTTCGTCGGCGCAGGATTTGGAGCAGCGCGTGGGTCAACGTCTGCGTGAATACCTCGCCGAGGAGACTGCGGCGGGGGATGCCGACAGTATAAAGCAATGGCTTGCTGATCAGCAAATCGCCTGCCCAATCAGGATCATCAAGCATTGGCTCAACGTGGACTTCTCTCCCGAAGGGGCTGTTGAGTCAGGCGAGGCATTGGAGTTGGCTATTGGAGACGTCTTACGTTCCATTGGTTATTCTCAGTTCTTCGAGTCCGAAGTATCCAGAGGCCGTCTTGTCGAGCATCTCAAAGGCCTCGACCCTCCCATCAGGTGCACGCTGGACGTGCTCGCTGCGTGGTGCGGGACCTTTTATCCGGGCCCGGGCGGCAATGCGCTCGAAGCCGACAGCGCGCACACCTTGGATACCTTGTTGGGCGAGGACCGAGTTCATTACGCATTGGATGGTGCGAGACCACTGGTCCAGCATCTGGCTTCTCGTTGGCAGCCGTTTCAAGCCTCGCACAAAGTCTGCCGCACGTGGCTCGAGAGTCTTCCAGACGCCCTCAAGTCGGCGGCCCGAGCCCGCAGCGCGCCGAGGACTTTGAACGCTCGCCGACTTCGTCAGAAGTCCAAGGACCCGCTGCCCCTGCTGCAGACCTTCGAGGATGTCGAGCGCGTCCTGGGGCAGGCTTTGCGCCATCGTCATCTGAAGTATGGTTTTGGTCACGGCCAGGCAGAAGGAGTTCGGATTGTCCAGAGTGAAGGGCACGGCGTGAGCAAGACCACGTATCAGGCACCGGATACCGACGCCGAGCGTTCTGCCCCATCTTGAAAGTCTATTACATTTTTTCGATGCCCGTTGCCAGTCTTACCACCCCGATGGGGCCCCGCGTTCAAAGCTGCGTGGCCCCTTCGGCGTCCCTGGGGCCCGGGTTGTTTCGAGAATGCATGAAATTTGACCGCTTGGCGTCGTTATCCGTCAGACTTGGTATGATCATCACGGTACGGCGCATGTCGTTCACGTCGGGGCGGCTTTCTGGAATGCCCACCGCGAGCTGATCGTGCGCAAGTACACGTGCGACAACATGTCGGCTTACGACATCAGCAAAGACCTCAAGAGGGAGTTCCACGTCGCCATGCGGCCTTACAATTTGCAGCAGTGGCTGGGCCACCCCGCGCAGAGGTTGACGTCCCTGCAGAGCGTCCAGGATATCGAGAGTCACGGGTGCGCGAATTTCGTTTTGGACCAGATGCAGACAGGAGTGCCCGTTGAGCGCGTTGCTCACAGTGTTCGCCGGGAGTACCTCGTCATCGCGAGCGCCCAGACGCTCCGGGCCTACCGCAGGTACAAGGAGCAGGCCGGCAACCCCCGCACCGCGCCGTGGATCGAGCAGCGGTGGTGGCGCTGGCTCTATGAGCAGATTACTGAGGGTTCCTCTTTCGGGCGCCCCAATAGGGGCGGCGTTGGCGGCCTGCGCATGGAGGTGGGCCCCGGGCCAGAACTGTCTCTTCTGCTCCAGCGGTTCTGCGACCGCGCCGAGCTTTCGATCGGCATGGTACCAATGCCGGAATTCCGCAAGTTTTTCAACAAGCACGAGCAGCTCGCGCAGTTGCGGTTCTAGTACCCGGACGCCATCATATATAAAGAGTATTTGCAGATCAACTCGGTTGACGCCTTCCGCAGGGCCATTCGCCGCGTGCAGCACGGCGAGCCGCTCCCCGAGTCCGCTGGCAGACTCCTCAGAGACACCAAGGCAGACGGGGTGCACGAGAAGGTTTTGCAGTGTTGCGCGGAGGTTGCCGCCGCCGACAAGATGCTTTGTTTCCCTGTGAACAGCGCGGTTGGGAATACGACCGTGGCTTACGCCGCGAGTATCTGCGAGGACTTGCATGCGTGCCAGACGTGGGCCGGTTCCAGCGTTGGCACGCAACATCGTGGATTTTGCCGGCGACTGCCAGACACGGATTTTGCCATATGGGCATGCTACGGCAGTTGGCAGCACTGCCCTTGCTGCGGGTGCTTCTCTTTCAACGATGAAGGGTTCAAGAGTCTGTACAACGGCACATCTGCTCAGGTCCCGGCGTCAGAAGTGCTGCATTCCCGTCGGGAGATCCCGTCCGATCCAGTCAAGCACTCTGGCCACGCAGAGCTCGGACCGACGTCGTACTGGTGGGTGAGCCCAACCATGTACAAGCCCTCGGCCTCCGTGGAGCACGCGTGTGGCAAGTGCACGCCAGCGGCAGAGCACCCTCGGCCCATCGCTCATCCGGGAGAGATGGCCGCTCGCATCCTCCGAGCCAAGGCTCGAGCCAAGGCCGCCGCCAGGGCCAGGCCTGCAGCCAAGGCCAAGGCGGCGGCGGCTGCCGCTGCCATCGGGGCCGATAAAATGGAACCAGTCTTGCGCACGCAGCAGTTGTATCGAGTTCCTCGTCTACCGCCAGTGGGCCAAAACATACCGTCGACCTGGGCCGGCGAAGTGGCATCGTGGCCTCGGCTCGCGCCCGGAGCGAGCGAGTTCTCCATGTCGGCCGCAGAGGGATGCACGTTCCTGGACTTTTCACATGACGAGAAAAAGGCTTTACGTGTCATCGTCATCCACGTGCAGAAGAAACAAGAGATGTTCAGCGCCAACCCTAACATTCCGAGCCATTACAAGAACTGGAAGAAGACCGGCGTCAGCAAAGGCTTCTACGCACCTCACATCGTTGACGAGCGCAGCCTTCCCACAGCTCGTTGCAAGGCGGCTTTTCGCTGGTTGGTCAAAAACAATGGCTTTTACGAGGCCTTCTTGAACGCGTCCAACCGCACGCACACGAATCCGGATCAGCACGGCCAGCACATCCGCACATTTGACCTCCTCGTGACATTCAAGGGCGTCGAGTGCGCGGCTTGGCCCTGGCTCTACCCCACCGCGGACTTCACGGACACCGGCATTCCCCGGCTTCTCGCTGAGTTCCACGATGATAAAAAAAAAAAAAAAAAAAAAAAAAAAAAAAAAAATAAAAAAACAAAAAAAAAATAAAACAAACAAAAAAAAAAAAAAAAAAAAAAAAAAAAAAAAACAAAATAGAAAAAAAAAAAAAAAAAAAAAAAAAAAAAAAAAAAAAAAAACAAAGATAAAAAAAGAAAAAAAAAAAAAATAAAAAAAATAACAAAAAAAAAAAAAAAAAAATAACAAAGCAGAATCGCAACACAATTTCCAGCGGGTATTCGTTCAACCGCAAGGCATTGAGCGAGGTTCGCGCATACGCCGAGGATCCAGATCTCGTCTTTTTCATGTTCGAGGTGCAAATGGCCAGCAAGTTCTTCGCAGCGCACTCCCTTGCGCAGCAGAGGAACGTCACCGCCGACGTTATGATGCGGACTTCTCAGACGAGCACTGGCTATTGGGATTTTGTCCGCGACTCGCTCTCTGATCTCGTGCGCGTTCAGATGTGGAAGTGCCACGACCAGCAAGGCCACAAGGAACTCTACGATCACTGCAGGGACGCTGCCGGGGACGAGAAATGGATGGCGGCTTTCCCAAATCTGTTCATTACGATCGCCCCGGCCGAATGGAAGTTCCCAGTGCCGTATTGGTTGCGGCCGTATCGAGAGCACTTGGTCAGCGGCGCCTACTGCATCGGCATTCACATGTACTTGCTGGTGCTGTCTATCTGGGCTTTCCTGTGCAACCACCTCGGCCATCGCTGGTTCCGGGTCATGGAGTACGCAGTCCGAACGGAATACCAGGGTAGAGGCACGCCGCATTGGCACATTTGCGCGTGGGTGTTGACTGCCGCAGGCGTGTCCCTTGCTTCGCTCGCGGGGCGAGTAGGCGTGAGCGGTCAAGCTTTGGCTGCCGCCGTGGGCTTCGTCAAGTTTCTGGGCGTTCTTTTCATGTGCGAGATCGACGTGCAGGTGGGCAACGGCCGGCTCAACTACATCAACGGCTACTGCACGAAGGGACACGACGCCGTCGACGTGGGTTTGGGCGAGTACGTGCAAACCAAAAACACAGCGCCTTGGCTGGCGACTTTTGGTCTTCTCAGCAAGATGACGCCGTCCATACCAGAGTGCGCCATTCGTCTTGCCCAGTACCCCGAGTTCGACCGGTCTTATTCGCACGAGTTGCTATTTCCGCCGCAGCCCGACGCCATCGCCGCGGTGTTCGACGCGCAGGGAGACGCATGCCTCGGCGACCATGGTGGCAATTTTAGCTGGAGCATGTACAAGTCCTACCACAATGAAGTGCGGGAACATGTCAACTCAAACGCACCAGTCAACCAGTCCTTCTTGCAGTGGCATCGCCACTACAAGTGGGATCGGAATGGCAACAGGGCAGAAGGCCGCAAAGGCAAGAACATCTCATACGGCAGGTCCCCCACCATGGTCTGCGCGTGCCGGTATTGGTACGAACTCACAGATGGGTATTGGGGGCAGATGTCTCTCACGCAGATCCCTCACAGATCGCCGCGCGACCTTTTGCCACTCCCAGACCAGCCGCACCTAGAGAACATGAAGAATTTCTTCGGCTTCCTGGCGTACCTCCGGACCTGGCGGTTTTGCAGGTACGATCGCGACGACCACCCTGGTTTCGTCATTCGTTCAGGCGAGTTCGAGTTCCGAGAGTCCGCGCTGCCATTGGATGTTCAGGACAGCGGTGCTCTTGTACTGATCGGTGAATCCATTGGTACTCGGCCTGCGCCCGATGCAGACTTGAGCTCGGCGCCGTATGTTTTCCCTACGGACAAGCACGCCTTCCAATGGATGGCGGACATATGCAGTCGGGATCTCTCTTACCGTGGGTTCCGTGAAGATCGTGTAAAGACGTTCGTTATGTACGCGCAGGCAGAGTTCTTGCTGCATCGCCGCGCCCTCCAGTGCGCCGGCGACCACGCCGAGGTCACGAAGCTCAAAGATGAGTGGGAGAGGGTCCGTCGCCCGCCGCGCAAGGTCTGCCACTGGTCCAAGCAGCAGGCGGACGTCCTCGAGATCGTAGAGCAGAAAACGAGCATCGAGGACCAGATGGAGAAGGAGAAGGAAGGCCGTCCTGGGAGATTCCTGTATGTCGCAGGGGCCCCTGGTAGCGGTAAGTCAGCAGTCCTCCTGGAATCGGCCTTGGCAGCCGCTGGCCGCGGTCTGGGCGTGGTGATTGTGTGTCCGACTGGGCAGCTCGTGCACAGCTTCAAATCCCAGCTGCCGGAGGCGGACCACGTCGAAAACATTCGCGTGGACACTATCCACGGCGTTCTTAATTACAAACGGCCGGACAAGGATGGCAAAGTTCGGTGGTCGCCGCCTTCTGCGTTGCGGAAAATCGACCTCATACTCGTGGACGAAGGAAGCCAGTATACGGACACGGAGTTCGAGCGCTTCTTCAAGACCCTGTGCGAGCAGCCGCACTCGCCTTTCTGCGTCATCGTGGCGGATTTCCAGCAGCTCACGCCAGTCCGCATGGGGGAGAGGGTCACGGATGCCCACGAGCCAAGCTTTTGCCAGCGATTGTGCCGCTGCTGCCCCACGGTGACCTTAGACACGGTGTACAGGTCGCAGGACCCCGAGCATTTGCTTTTCTTGAACCACATCAGAGAGACTCAGCCGACAATGGACACGCTTCAGGATTATTTCCATCGCAGGCAGTTCCGGGGCACGCTGGAGCAGACCGTCGGGTACACTCTGGAGTTCGAGAAACAAGGTGGCCCCCCGATGACTTGGCTTACATGTACCAATGCTGGCGCCCAGGCAGTTGCGCAAGCGGCCTTGCGGCACAAAGGTGTCACAGACGATGATTTGCGAACAGGCTTCCGGGCGGATCCAGCAAGCAAGTGCTCCGTTCCCATCCTCGCCAAAAGAGGTCTCGTCATTCGTCTCACGCGTAATCTCGATAAAACCCGCGGCTTTGTCAACGGGGCGATCGCAGAGGTGGTGGAAAGTTTGGATGGCAATGCTGTATTTGTTGCTCGCTTACGCGGAACTGGCAACATGCTTCTCGTGCACCCATTGTACGAGAATAAGCAGTGGTTCTTGCCGTGTTGTTACGGTTATGCCACCACGATCCGCAAAGCGCAGGGCGCTAGCATCGACTCCGGGGTCATTTGGTTTGACCAGAAACGGTTCGCAGCTGTGCGCGGGTACGCATACGTCGGGGTCTCCCGCTTCCGCCACAAGGCCGGCTTATTCTTGTTTGGTAAGCTCCGGAGATCTGACTTCCTGCCTGTCGGGGGCCAGGGCAGGCAGGAGCAGGTGGCGCGCGGCGTTGCTTCCCAGGATACGGACTCTGACGACTCCAATGACGAACCCGGACATGTGGCGCATGGGGGCTACCCAGACTCCGACTCAGACCCTCCGTGTGGTTCCGACGATGCCAGTCTACCTTCTGCTGGCGAGGTCCACGAAGACTGGTCGGACACGCCCATGGCCGCTCCTTCTTCGGACCGCTCTGCGGCGAGCTCTGACCAGCATGGCAGTGAAATAGAGCACTTGTTGGGATGTTCTGCCAGCTCCTGCGACGGCTCTGAGTGCTCTGAGCAATGCGTCAGTGAAGTGGCATATTTGCTCGGTTGTTCAGACAGTTCGCCTGGCGAGTCGGAGGTTGACCAGCAGTTGAAACACGATCTGCATCCAGACGCACTGCCTGGCGGCCAGCTTCTTGGCGACTTACTTCCAGAAGAGCATCCTTCTGACGACGTTCCTTAGTTTTCTGTGGACGCGCTCGTCGCGTACTCATCGATGCAGCGCGGTCTCTTTGTCGCCGTCGTCTCCGTGGCCGTTGCCGCCGGCGGCCGTGGCACCGTCATCTTCCGCTGCCAAGCACTGCGCTTTTTATCAGCACACACAGCGCATGGAAAAAAATCTGCCCCGCTCCTCCTCCATCCACTTGTCTCCTCTCCTTGCCGCCCCCTGGCATTCCACCCCTCTCCTTCCCACTTCCCATATACCTCCCTCACCCTCACCCTCACCCCTCCCCTCCACCTCCCTTGGGAAGAGTACTTTATGCGAGTGCCCAGCAGACAAGCGTATTGTTATTCGCCGAGGCCCCCCTGCCCCCCCGGTGCCCCCCTCTGAACAATGGCCGCCACAGCACATCTCTTGAGCTTTCAGGGGGGACCCCCTGGCGAGCTTCCCTGAGGGCCCTGCCCAAACACCCTTCGCAAGATTGGCGTTGCGCGGCCCCGCAGAGGACAGCGCAGCGCAGCAGGATTGAAGAGGGGGGGGGGTGAAAGGGGTCTACGTGTCAACTTTGGAGTTCCACTTCGGGGGCGGCCTCTTAGCTCCGGGTCGATCTGTAGCGGGCCTCCCGGCTGCTGACCCCTGCAATGCTCATTCTGGCAGACACCATTACACTGCCCACTGGCCGTTTCAATATTGAAGAGGTGGGCGACAATGGCGCTCACGCTTTCAATTCCCGTCCTCTACATCCGGGCATGCTCGGAGTGGACCTTACCGCGCCAATTCCACAGAGGCCTCGCAACTCACCCCCCAGGCCGCGATTTCAGCCAACGAGGAATCTCACAAGGCAGCTAACGAGGCAGCAGACGATGTAGCCACCACGGTAGCCGACCAGGCAGCCAGCGAGGCAGGCAACCAGGGACCCAATGAGGCAGCTCACAAGGCGGCCAACCAGGCAACTGACGAGTTGGCCAACAAGGCAGCCGAGCAGGCAGCGGACGAGTCTCCCGACAGCGCAGCCAACAAGGCAGCCAACGAGGCACTTGACCAGGCAGCAAACGATGCAGCCAACCAGGCATCCAATCGGGAAGGCTGTGGAGCTGATGGGCAGGCGGCCGACGACGCAACCGCAGGGGTGGGGGGGTCCTACCATGGACTTTGCGCGCCCGAGTGCTCGCAGGCCATTCACATCGCACGCGTGGTGGCGTCGTGGATGCAAAAACATCATACCAGAAATAGCATGCCGTCTCTGGATTGCGGCATAGAGCAGCATTGGGCG